TGTGTGGTCTGTGTGTCTGTGTGTCTGTGTGTGTGTCCAAGCCCCTGATAAGACAGATAATGATCCGTCACGATAATGGAGCTTTAATGGCCACAGTAGAAATCATCTTCAACAAACCCTCTCTCTCTCTCTCACACACACGTCTCACCCCTTACCTCTGTCTATCTCTCTGCTTCCCACAATCCTCTCTGTCATTCACTAAATCATAACTCGAGCTTGCAGTATACCGCTTTAGTCTCATGCTGTGCGCTCACACATGCCTGTCATTTCAAACACCCAAACCACTGTATCACACACACAACACCTGCATTAATGCATCTCAGAAACACACACACACACGCATACACATTGAAACAAATACTCTTACAGAAGTCATGAATCTGGCAACACTGACTCTCTGCCCACTTACATTATTTCATCTGCATTTCTCTGACCACACACTGTGATTGCATGAGACGTGATCCATGGGAGCTTGTAACCACAACATCCAAACTTATACCTCATAACTGGAAACTGTATCATGCAACATTGTTTATATTTAATTTCTTCAGGCCATAAATGAGCTATAGAGTGAATGCAGCAAGAGAGGAAGTTTATTGCTTAGCAACGTGGGGACTTTTTTCTCAGCGGAGGATTACATTATGATTACTTTCTGAGGAAAAACTGTGTTTTGTGTTTTATTAGTTTTGGCTATTATTCAGTTATGAGAGCATTTTTCGTACCAGGTTAATTGTAGAGGTTTAAGGATGTGGCCGCTTTTGCAAGAAAGTCCGCTAGAGCGAGCAGTCATTACGGTGTCAAACATGTTTTTAGTTTGATCAGGAACTTTCTCAACCAGGCAGTCTGGACCTTTCTGATGAGCCACAAGATGGATAATGGGAAAGGAAAAATAAAAACAATTGTTGTCCTACATACATTTCTACAGACTAAATATATAAAACATTATCCAAATGAACTCGTGTTTCTCATGGGAAAACATATTAATGCTAACATATTCAATCTGCGAGAAGGGAAACGCAAGCAGCCACTGGTTCATTTTAAAAAACATTGGGAACCATTATTTTAAGATAACTTGTACTGGTTTTCCTGGTTCAATTTCTACAGTGTTTCTGGGTTTACACAGTTCCATAGCCAATATTTTAAAAAGTATTCAGGTTGTAAAACACCTGAATTTCCCTTTAAACCTCAAAGCTAGTGACTTAAATACTAAAAACTACAATAAAATTATAGTAGCTGTCGTAGCTGATCTCATATGTTA